ATCCATAACTTCGAGACAATAAAAATCTCTTGTCTAATATAAGATGTCTTTTATGAGATTCTTTTGCAGATAAGGTAATCATCGAGAAACAAAAATTATTCATTGAATAGTTATTGAATCGAATCGACAATTTCTTACGCAATGATCCATAAAAGTGTATTTTTCACAGCTGTATACTTTTTTAACTCTGCGCATTTCGAGTAAATTTTGCGTCACAAACCTTTTACAATTTTCATAAAGCCACGCCGTTATCGTTGGTTTTAACGTTAAAAGATGCACGTACTGGTATGAACATGAGCATCCACGCGTATCGCTCACGCAGCGATGTAAAAAAAAGAAGAGAATAATCAGCGAGAGAAACAAAATATACTGGAAGCTCTTAAATTTTTCTAGCTACTCGACTGCCGCTGTGAAATTCACTGCAGATCCATAAGCGAAAAAAATTTCTAGGTCGAACGCGAAGGAGGTGGAGTTTTGCGTATAGAAGAATTTGAGAATAAATTTTGCGTTCTATGCTCAAATTAAATTCCATGGTATGATGAAAAAAAAAGACCCGCGTCCGGCGAAGAGAAAGAGAGAAAGATAATATAAACTGAAATGGTTCTCCACCGGAATAGTTCGGTATACGATAAACTGCTTGTTCTGTGTGCCCTAAAAATACGACATAAAATGTTACATTGACTTGAAAACGGATCATGTTATGCTTGAATAAGGCATGTTGATTTGATTATTTATTGCAAAAAATATATAAGTCAAATTTCATTGATTTAATGTTAAAATCATATACTGTGCATATCTTAAATTCGAATGAGATATGTCAGTGACAGTAAAAATAATTCAATAATTTTTTCATTTAATCTTGTAAAATTTAAAATGTATTGAATGATAGTTGAAGGAAACGTGATTTTATTGAGAAGTTCGTTTATTAAGCGTCAGTGATATTGAATATCTGAAGCATATATCTTCAAAGAGATTTCCTTCACGGGTATATTTCTTATCTCCGTGTAACATGGGCGAGTTAAGAACAATGCACGAAATGAAATTCTTTCGAGTATAAAGAAGCTATGCGAACTAGTTACGTACAGAGGAACACTATTCGATTTTATTTTTTCGCATAACAAGTTAAGTGTGAACGCAGCACATGTGAAAATTCGAAAAATTCACGGAAACATGCCGTCGATTTTTTCGTGCGGTACATATTTAATCTCCCACATCACTGATTTAACCCTTTCTGTCCTAAATTCTGCTGTGAACAGCACGATTCATTGACGTTTTCGTTCAACGCTGAACTGAACGACGATGTGTCAACAGATATCGGGAACAAATTCGAAAACACATTTCCGGTTAAATGAAATATAATAAAACAAGTGTTTACGTACCCTATACGACCGCATACAATTGCGATACGCAACGCGGCGTGACGGATGTCTATCCCCGTATGCAAGGGTGGTCGTGCAACGGCAAATGGCATGTGATCTGTCCCCGGATGCCAATCGTTGGAAAATTTTGGTCGTGCTAGAATGGCTGGATCAATGTTTCGCGAGTTACTGCATTAGCCTTCTGATAGGCAAAGCGACCGCTTGTGCATGCAATACACGCGAATCACTCTGGACGCACTCGCTAACTGTAGCATGCATTCTTTTCCTTCCGTAAAATATTTCTCTCTCTCTTTCTCTCTCTCTCTTTCTTTCTTTTTCTTTCAACAATATACAAGGTATTCCATTTTAATATCCCACCCCAAATAACTTTATTTTTGATCTTAGAAAAAAATGTTTCAGACAAAAGTTGTATGGCGCTTTGAGGGTTGAGGAGAAAAATAATGGTTTCCATTATTCCATTTAAGAAATTGAAGGTAACTTTCAAGCAACTATTTAAGATCAAACTAACGACACCATGTTATGCCCCCCTCAAAGCCATACAACTTTTGCCTGAAATATTTTTTTCTAAGATCAAAAATGAAAAAGTTATTTGGGGTAATGGGACACCCTGTATATTCTAATTAAAAAAGATCGTCAATGTATAATTAAAGACCGTTGATCTTTAATCTTTCGGAAGTGACGATGGATTTATTAGATTCACTCAATTATATATTCTTCATATTATATCTGTCAATTTGAATTTTTGTTATTAAAATAAATTTTGACACTAAGATCCGTTTTGACGAATACTTATTCGTTTATTTGAATAAATTTAGTATTTATTTCTTTTTTTATACGAGTTATGTTATTTTAAGTCCTTGAGATTAATGAATGCCTTTTAATCAATATAAATTAAATGGGTCTCACAGACTCAGTGTCGATAATTGCGTTACAGATTTTAACGTCAGCTTTGGAAGGTTAAAGGCTCTATATATTATGGAGTACATATTAGTAGAGTTTTAGCGGACTTCGAGCATACGTGCGATAATAGCATCGAAAAAGGTGGAAACACGGCACAGTATTAACGGTAACGATAATGATGTGGCAACAAGTGCTTTTAACGTTTCTTAACAGTAATGCTCGTTGCATTCTTGGGAAAGTGCTCAACATACTACTCTCAAAGGACCTTGCTGTAACAATTTTGCGGCATGATGAAGCACGATGTGGCCGTTGGTGAAGTATAGTAAGGAAAACGGAGATACGTCTTGTGATGTCCGGACCATTCGAATGAATTCTTAAAGCAACCTAATGTTTCCTTTGTTTCTTTTATACCGCATTCTTCTCTTTCTGGCTTTTCTGGCATCATCGGCATGTCTATTTTCTTAGCATGTTACACTCGATCTCTTTCTATACTTCTTTCTATATATAGGCACGTATATATATATACATTCATAACGTAGTTCTTACTTTCACATTTTATTTTCGTCCTATTTTCTTTACAAGATCTTTCCACGAAATGGATATGTGGAAGACGTATGTAGTGTGTACGTCTAAAGCAACCATCACGCATCGTTAAACATTCAAAAATTCAAGAGCTCTGTAGAGACAGCTCGTTTTTTTCCTCGTTTTTCTTATATCGCGGCGCAGCAGTTTTCCTCGCCTTTACTACCTTCCGAGGATCCAATTTTTCTCCGGCATAACATATCTTTGAGCCGGGAACAAGAAATTCTTCAAACTTTTACGCAAGCTCGCAACAAGTGAATTTCATTTAATTTCGCACGATATGTTATGCAAGCGATACCTCAAATGTAATTTGAACAAGATAATGTCGTGTGAAATTAATACGAACGGCATTATCGCGTGGGCGTATGCAATGCGCACGCCGTTCCCTAGTCTCTTTCTTTTTGCTCGAGATCGGTGGTAAGAAAGCTTGGGAGGAGTACCTGATCTGTCAAGGCCAGCTGCTGGAGGGCGAACTACTTGATTTACGCTTTTCTTCCATCTTCGCTCGCGGAACATCCTCTTTGCCTTTCTCCGCCTTTCTCTTATTCTTCCCTTGAATGCCCTATTTCATCAGCTTAATTCGCTGGAGACGTGAATGGTCCTAAGTGTTAAAAGCTAACTTTTATCTTACTTTTTGCCTGTAAACAGATTTAAATATGACAGCGTCGCCGTGAAAATACAAACCACCGTGGCAATTTTCTCATTCACTACGAAGTTTGTCGATCTTCCTAAGCATCGAAGTGGTAATAAAGCCTATTTCGAGGTACGAAGGTTTCGACTGATTCGTTACCCGCATAACTTTTGCTTCCTGAATATTTCCCCGCAGAGTCTTAACGAGTTTCTGATTCTTAGAAAGTTCTCTTAGAAATGATTATATTCGAGGCTTGTAGTTGCAAAACTTGTTAAATCCACTGTAAGGTATTTTGAGCAAGGACAAGAAAAACTAATTGCTTGTCTATAAATATAATTAACAGACTCAGATATTTATATATCAAATCAGCATGCTTATTTAAATATTAACCGATAAAATTACATTTACATTTATGTACACTGTACACTTTTGCCATCTATACATCCTGTGATTTCTCTTTAATTATTTCTATTTATTCGTATACGCGTATGAATATTTTCAAAGTAATAAATAGATCAGAATGTAAATAATATTTCATAGGGTATAATTTTACGGGATACTTTTTTATGTACGTTTTAGATAAACTTTTTCTGCGGGGAGAGATTTGCGTCGTATAATTTTTTAGGAGTTACATATGGAGGGTAGTTATTTTTGTTTATCTGCACAATGTGGTTGTGAACTGCGGAGCGAATTTGTTTACTACCCAGTGTTGCAGTGTGGTATAAAAAAAGTTTTTCGTCCGGACGAAAAGAAATGATAAATTTCTGACTGCTCGGTTTCATATTCTTTCCTTCAAAGAACTCTTCAAGAGCGTTCTTACTACCACCTGCTATCGCTAAATTATCGTCGTCTGTCATCAGCATTACTTTCAACGCTTTAAAATTATGTATATATATAATACATATTTAATGTATAAAGTAAGAATTTGTTAATCAGTTAAATAAAATCTAAAGATAAAAAGAGATTATATTCACCTGTAAGCTTCTTTTTTTTCGTCTTGTCATATACATTTCAAGCAAAAAATTTTGAAATATTTTTAAAAAATTGGGGTTATTTATCTAAATATTTATGTTAAATACAATAGTTAAAAACAATATGTTTTTTTAACCATAATTCTTTACATCTGATGAACGTTATTGGATCTGGAGAATTATTGTTAAAAAACACTTGTGTTGTAAATAAAAATTTAAAAAATGTCAATTTTCAAAAAGTGTTTTCCACGCTTTTGATCTGGAGTAATATGTATATTTGTTTTAGATAACACATCTTTTATATCTTAGATTGCACATGTTACTTTCGTTATGCTTCTTTTTCGAAAAACTGTTTCGAAAAAATTCCGAACGAAGCACATCTGTTCTTTCATTATATTTCGCTATATTTTTCCTTCGAAAAACCGTTTCAAAAAAATTCTAAGAGAAGCATCTGTTCTTTATTTCAACGTGGAAACACGCGCAATAACGACACTTTTGTCAAGGTTCATACAGAGCATCTTTTGCTTTCTGTTCCAGCGTCAAGACGGACATGGGTGCAGCTGGTGCGGTGTCTAGGCTCTACATTGCAAATGCGAATAGAAAGGACAGCGGGAACTATAGCTGCGCCCTGGCAAACGTAGCAGCAGCCACTATGGTGTCCGTCCACGTGCTAAACGGTACGCTTCCGCTTTGAATATTTTCGTATTTCAATGTATTTCCATATGTCGTTGATATACGAGGCGAGAGAAACGTGACAATATCGATGTAAAAAACATCAAAAGCATTAATAAGCCCAATATAAAAATCGCCCAATATATGAATTGAATACATTAAAAACTATATAAAAAAACAGTTAAAAATTATTTATTAATGTTTTTTCTCGAGAAATATATTTTCCGAATGCAAATGGAAAACATTGTTAGTTTAAGTTTTACATGAAATTTAACGGGAGCAGTTAAAATTAGCGGGAAAGTTCGTGTTTCTCTGGTGCGGGAAAACCATTCTTCACGCGAATTCGAATGCCTCGGGAGATAATTCGTCGTTCTCTTATAATTGTGTATCAGGGAGAATTCACCGACCCAAGCAATCAGTCGCACTTGAAATCACAGTTAAAGGATCAGATTCTGCTCGCTACCGATAACGGCGTTTGGCAGACTTGAAGGAAAGCAGCGGAGGATGCCAGTCACCTTCGTGGGAACGTACGACGCCTATCGATATAATTTTCCACTCCTTTGCACGATCGATAATTGATTTTCCACGGCTTTTCAACGGCGCCAATGCCTATTACCGGTCTCTCTTTTCTTTCCTGCACCGCCTTCCCCGTTTCTCAGCTTGCTCCATCTACTTCACGCTCCGAGAGGTCGGTCGCTTTCTTCTCCGCACATCTTCTTGCGCCAATCGATCGTGTAGGAATACAAAGCTGTGATTTCATCAGGGTAAATAACTGGCGCCGGACGCAACCGAGTTGCGGAGACGCTGCCGTTGACGGGTCGCTCGATCGCTCTTCGTGATCTTCACTTGGTCCTTATTTCCGTTTTGCCAACGAGTTTCTTGCACCAAATGACATTCTTGACTGTATTAATAGAAAATAGTTCGATTCCCTCGATGCACGGGAGAAAGAGTGAGAATGAAATAACGCCCACTAAACATACAGTGTTATTCCTAATAAAAAAAACTAAGTCGAAAAGTCCTGTACCATTTTGCAATTTTCACAACAGTTAACGAGATATTAATTTCTAAATATTGCCGAATAAACGGATAAAATCGATGCATAAGACGATTTTAAGATATCTTTCCGTGTTCTTTGTGAAATATTTTAAAGATTTTTCTTAAAGAACTCTTAAAGATATCTTAAAGCTGTCTTATACGGTTTTGCTCTGTCTTAAACATTTTGCTCATTGAGTAACTAAAAAAGAATATTGCGAAAATTGTAAAATGGTAGAGGACTTTTCGTCTCAGTTTTTTTATTAGGAGTAGCATTGTATGATTAGTGGGCGTTATTTCAATTACACCCTGTATGTATATATATATATATATTGAAGTGTCATTAAGATGCTACTAAAATGCTGCTTTTATTCTTATGCCGTCATCTGTATTTATTCGTACCCTTTTTTTGTTCCTCGTGGGTAACTTATACTGTTTCGTGTGCTTCTGTCTAGAACCAACGCGTGGTGTATTCATATAAAAGTTCGTTGGGAATACATAGGTTGACCCATTTCTTTCTTCAGCAAGTTGGGCTGTCGCAAAACTCTCCTTCCTTTATTTGTAATCTTCTTCATTCTCAGGGCATAGTCAAATTAGTGTTTAAAATGTACATTATTCCCGTAGCGCGTTAATTCTTATGCTTTTAATTTTGTTATGGAAGCAATGTAAAGGAAGGAAAGTTTCACTGCTGGAAACATCAGGCACAAGGTGGTAGAATCAATTTATCGTGTTGATAGATAGTTCATTCATATTCAAAGTTACAAATCATACTATGTACAATTTGATGGGAAATAGACAAATATGATCATTCTTCGGTGAGATTGGCATGGCTAAATATTGATACGATTTCGTCCGAGTTAATTCGATTAAACAACTGTATTGTCCTAATTCACCGATGCAATTCGTAATCCAGGAAAATTGCCGGATATGTTTAGCTCGAACTGCTTTTCTGTTCGGCGATCAATTTTCAGCGTGTTGCTTCCACTTTTGATGTATTGTTGGATGACATTTTCGCTGTTTTCTCCCTGGTGCTTTTCTCTTTTATCTCGCGATGACGTAAACCACGAAACTTTCGTATCACAACGAAATAGCACGTAAGTCGAGTCGATGACGCGTGCTCTTGTGGGAAATGCCGCTAAACACAAGCTTTATAGTGGCGGATGGGCGATGCCACTGCAAGACGGTCGATAACTGTGGGTTGGGAAAACGTCTTTCGAACTTATGGCGAAGGAGCTCAACGAGTTTTCACGGCGGCTTTTCGCGCCCGGGGCAGAGCGGCTCAGAGACGCCACATCTATATAGGTGATGTGCATTATTTACGGCGGATTACCTTAAGTCGGCCCAATACGAGAGTTCGATCTTCTTCCGGTAAAGTTTGACGAGAGAGAGCACTCAAGGAAATGCTTGGTCGCGACGTATAATCTACCTAGTTCCTTTTTGCGAAACGACGTTAATAATCTTTAGTTACTCGGACTGACGGCTACTCTGTTTCGCTGCGAAAGGCACTTTGGGAAGTTAGATCTCCGTAGTTTGTATCAGGTACTTCATTTAAATTCGTATGCACGCGCGCCCTTTGGCACTTACTCTTTAATCAGACGTGTTCGATCAATACCTGGTTACGACGAAATTCTTAACTATGTTCCATCTACGAAAACATATTATCAGCAAAACAAGCGTCTTACTATCTGCTGCAAGAGGTATGAACCAGGTAGAGTTAGAGTTAAGCCACCGTTACCATCACGATGAGTATGCGGAATGCGCAAGTCGGAGAGTTATTACCGCAGGTGTTATGCCAGTAACTACAAGAGCGATCATAATACTGGAAGTAATGCGAATTTGCTTGACAAGTAGTCGGACGCTCGAGGCTCGCATTCGAAAGTAGTTTGCCGTAGTGAGAGTCGATCCACGTTCTGAAATTTCGTATAGCTCTATGCATCGTGAAATGTTTCGTACATCCGACTTTGGCTCGTCTATCCGTTTATGCATGTGATTGGCACTAATGATGTCCGTCGGAGTGAGTAATTTGCGAGCCGAGAATTGTGGTCATCTTTGATGATCGTCATACGAGTCGCATCCCAATCGAAGATTGATTCTTCGAGTCGTGCTTTACATGAAATGGCCATCGGATTTCAAATGTTCCCTCTTTAATTGTAATAGCTCTGGAAGCTTACAACCATCTTTGGCAATGGTTCCAATAAATTATATTATATATATCGCTCCTTGACTTCAAAATAACAATAAAAACTCAATAAAGTTAAGAAAAGCCCGGGAAAAATGTTTTATATATAATTATATGTGTGAAATTATAATATATAAAAATATATATAATTTTTTATATAATTATATATAAATGGACATATTTTATATTGTATAATTGGATATAATTATATATAAACTTACATATATAAAATTATATATAATTATATATAAAATTATATTAGATTTGATCTTTTAATGAAGTAACTTATTAATAGAGTAATGTTTTACCTAAATCGTTCATAATAATAACTCAAAAATTATGTTTTTTGTGTTTTTATCATTTTTGAAATAAAGGAGTGATACATTTCTGTGCCAGATAAAGAAATATTAGATATCTAAAATATTATAGTCAGCTTTTATTTTGTTTAAAAGAAAACAGATAAAATAACAGGTATTATGGAGTAAAATATTTACCTAACTCATTCATTCTTGAAAATCATGTTTTTTTAAATCGTATCATTTTTGAAGTAAAGAAGCGATATATCTCTGTATGCTGGATAAAATAGACCGAAATATTACAGTCAGTCTTTATTTTATTCGCGCAAAACAGATAAAATAATATTGCAGTTTAAATACGACGTAATATTAATATTTAAATAAACTTTACAGTTCTTCAGTTTAGTATGCAAATGTAAACCGCACTTGTGTTGGCGCTGAGAGAATGCGTTGGGTATAACAGTTATACCAAACAATAAAAGCTGCTGCCTCTGACGTTAGAATTTACGAAAATGAAAAAGGGAACAGAATGATTTTGGTTCCTTTGCAACGAAATGCTCGACGTAGTTATAGCAGCCTTTCTCGCTGTTTCTTTCCAATTAATATACCTCTTTAAAGATATAGTAGAACACCTCTTTACAATTAATTATTCTCGAGATATGCTCGTGATTATTAATTAAGTGCAAGCTGGACTGAAGATGAAGCACCATTACTCGGTAAGATCTCATCGTGTTCGCCTGAAGGGCTTTCTCGCACGACACCTCTCTTTCTCCTTCTATTTTTACTCGCTCTCTTACTTTGTGATCTTTTCACTTTCGTTCTCTTCTCGTAGAAAATTAAAATCGTCGATAAGACCGTATTCCGGTATCTCTACCCTGCAACATAAGCACGTTTCGCTTTACAGAATAAAAAATTTAATAGTAAAAGGATTCGAGTAAAGGCGGAAGACTAAGTCTGTTGTGAGACACTAGAAAAATGGAAATAAATGTAAAATGGCAGTAGAATAGCAGATCAACCGGATAAAAGTGATCGATGAGAAAACGTAGAAGAGCGCGTGAGTGGCGAACTGTTCGTTCTCGAAAATGAGTGGTTCTTGGCCTAGTTAATGCCTATGAGGAGACAAGTGACTCGGAGTTGGAGCAGTAGTTGGCCGGTTGGTTCTGGCGTGTATATGTGCGTTTGTGTGTATATGTGTGTGTCTGTGTGTTAGAAGCAGAGGTAGAGAGGTTATTTCGCAGGGTGTCACGCCCTACCCATTAATAATCGTAGCCGCAGGCTCCAGGAGGACTACACGTCGACCCGCCTCTATCCCTTCTATGACACTGAAGTCTGGCCTCGCCTCTTCGGCATCACTGCGCTCCGTCGAGTCTGAACCTCTCACTCTCTTTCTCTCCTCATCTCCGCGTCCTTACGTCGTCGACGTAAGGCCGGGCGTGAGGAGTTTGCAAAGCTCTCGTCGCAAGATGTAGTTAACAGGCCCGCTCGCGCGTGGCCATGTATAATACACAGAAGGAATCTCCGGAGAGCGCTTGACAGCTCATTTCGCATCTGCCTTTTTCCACCGTGGCGCTCCTTTAGGACCCACCTTGACTCCAGGGCCATCCTCCAGAAGACCGGCGGAAACAGAAGAAACTGATATCTCCGAGTCTCGCCGAGTGTGTGATTAATCGTGCGGTTACGTGGAATATTACACAATTCTCGAGTCGGTAGCGTGAATTAAAATTTATGCCCATGTCCTCTCTGAAATAGCAAAGTGGTAGCAATTAATTTTATTGCACTCAAATAAGCGGTTGATGCAATTTGAAATTGAATTTAGTTCATGCGGCCTCTTCGAAATCTGATATAGATATGTTCACACCAAAATTACGGGAGATAGTATGAATATCGAACCTGCAATCGGCTTTGGTAAATTTGTGAAGATCCGAATATCATATTGCGTACTTGCAGGATGGTGCAACGTGATTAGTGAAGTCAATGAAATTATGCCGAATTTGCACGCTACATTACGGTATCGCGATATGTATGCGTACGGCATATGAGTGATCGGCTGATTAATTTGTAATTAAGCAGAGGTCGAATGGTGAAATATTCTGCATAATCCGTGTCAAATGAATAGATTTCCACAGATTAGATAAACTAAATATTCTGTACGATCTAAACTTCACTTTGATCTCATTATTATAATATGTACTCGTTATACACACACACATATACTCGTAAAGACCGTAACAACGCTTAAGGGAAGATTCCTGAGATTATGTTGAGACGAAAATCCTAATACCAAAATCCTAATACCAAAATCCTAATACTAAAATCCTAATATCAAAATGAAGTCATAACAGTTTTTCAAATAAAAATAAAAATACAAGGTCTGTTTTTTATTGTTGCACTCTGAACCGGTGCAATAAGTTGAAGTGAAACAAACGTATATTTGTTTAACTTCAACTTATCGCAATATGTTTACTAGTTCAGAAAGTGCAGCAATAAAAAACAGACCTAAAGAATAACTCTCGAGAATGTCAAATACGATAAAAAACAACTCGGGGCTAATGAGAGTTTTAGCGCGGTAATTGCGAAGACAGTTATCGAATTTCTAATTTACAAATATTTGATTAATAAAACGTGAATAATGACAGGGGCGGTTCGGTTTCATTTTGAGCAATCTTCAGTGTGTTGAGTTTACAATTACATTCCTATTTCTATATGGCCAAACCGGCGGGCGACGGTTCGATCTCATCCTCAATTGCATTGACACGTGGTCGATAAGCCCAGTGGCAAAGAACGAACTAATGAAATTCTGTGTCAAAGAAAAGGCGTTGCCAACAATGCATGAAGGAAGAGAAAGTAAAGCACTCACCCGCAATCCGCATAGCCATATTTGTCCAAATTCAAGAAACAAAAATCCTCTGAGTTTTCATATTTTAATGAACAAGACGTAAAAAAACGCTTCTCACGGACGTCAACGTTCGAATAAATCAACGATATATAATATCAGACATGCTAATAAATTAACAATAAGATTTGAAGAGAGACCGCAATATAGAAAAATCAAAATATAGCAAAATTAAATTTTTTTAAATATAGTAAATATCACAATAATTAGAAATATCAATAATTTTATCTTTGCATATGTTATCTTTATATTGATATTAACAAAAAGCGACAATTATTAGCTTTCACTTTTAACACTTTGCGTTGTACCTCTGAACGCGCAAATTTTATAGGCTGTATGATCCACTAACTTTAAATACTTATAATTAAAAAAACTATTATATTAGTCTCGACATTTTAGTATTAGAATTTTCGTCTTATAATGATCTCAATTAAGAATTTACTGTTAAGTTATTTGAAAATAATTTTATTAAATTGTTAAAATAATTATGTAGGACGCTCAAGCTGGTTGCTAAAATTATAAAATATCAAAATTTTATGCAGCATTATTCATCATGGTTGAGTTTCTTACATAATTATTTTAATAGTTTAACAAATTTATTTTCAGATCTGCATCTAGCTAAATTTTTAGACATTTAAGCAAAATCATTCTTCCCATGTAATTATGTTGGTCTATCTAAATAATTATATCAAACGTTTAAACTGATTGTTAAAATGTTAAAATTTTTTGTAGCATTATCATTATGCGATCCTACATAATTATTTTCATGGTCAAGCATAATTACTTTCAAATGCTTCTTTTTTATATACTTCAACAAAATCGTTTTTTCCATGACTCCGTGTATAATTCCGTTTCTTTGCTACATTAACGAAAACGTTTTCAATAAGACGAGTTGTGAGACGAGACGAAATGTCTCCAGTGAGTATTAAGACGATTCAATTAACGAGACGAAAATTCAGAATTAAGAGCTGGTTTACCGGGAAGGCTGTGTAAACAGAGTTGTAAATTTTTCTCCTACTGGGAGCGTTTAATTAAATCTTGGGAAGAGATAGTCGTCCGTATGACTAGCCGTTAAAACTGCTACGTGGATAGCATGTTTTCGAGCTCACAAAAACTTCGGAATCGATTGTGCCAAATGTTCAATTATACTAAGAAAGTATAGATGAATTATCGATTTAATTACGGATTTAATAAAGGACAGAAAAAGGAACAGTATACTCGACAGCTATTCGAATAATGCTAATATCAAATTACGTAATGTGATTTAGTTGTCAAATATATTTACATCCACTTCGCTTGCATTTACATGCATTTGGCACTATAACCACATAATGCAATCTAATATTACATGTTATAGTATCAAGTGTATTAAAATCTATACTATCCTAATTGTATTCATAATTAAACATAGTCACAATTGCATCGTTGGATTACGTATGGAATGGCACAGAAATTTGTTGCCATATATATATATATATATATATAGCAGCATATAGGAGAACGTAAAATCTAAAATACATTATTAATCGAACGGAATGTGAGATTTAGATCAATTATTACATACTAGTACTTTTTATTACAAATTATATTATTGAATTCTGCGAATATGGAGCGAGAGTGCGGAATTCCTTTCTAAACGTCGCATTTGTTTCAAAGTCATAAAAGAGAATGTTTTTCCGGGATTGCGACAAGCGGTTTCGATCGGCCATTTACGAAATTCGTGTAAACCGCAATTCTTGTCACTTTTGAATGCGACGACCACCCGTGAGATTGTGTCGCATTTGATATTTTACCACGAATTTTATGGATGACCGACTTCGCGTTTATATTTTGAATTTTTGAACTATTCAAAAGCCAAACTGGCGTAGACAATCAGTGTGTGTACCAATCTTTTGGCTTTTATCACGGTGCGCCGTGACAGAACAAATAAAAGGATTGAACCGTTATTCCATTTGTCTGTTGGAATATGTTTCGCTTGTTATAGTTGAGAATAGATTGCTAACAGTATATATACAAAGTAAAAGTATTCTTATTCTCAGAGTAATTGCTTTAACAGTTAATTACTGAACGTCTTTTCGGACGCGAGATGATTTATTATATTCGAGTCTCCTTACGTTGCTTTCCTTGCTGCTCTGATAAATTGAGAAATTTATAATTAGAATAAATATTAGGAGCTCACAGCAAAGCAGGCCAAAAGTACACATAAAAAAATATCATTCTATTGCTAAGAAAAGTACTGAATTTAATTTCTTCTTTTGTAATAAATAACGGTTATTAACAAAGAATACTTTCTTAATAATAATCTTAAAACACTTATTACAAATTTTAGAAAAGCTCATTATTATGTACTCAAAACAAAGAATTAATTTTTTTTTGAAGAATATTGTAAAATTGATCGAGAAGAAGCGATTTTATATATATAATAAATAAATCGAATTTTTTAAATTTAATAATCTTGATTGAAGTATCAAACTTATCAGGATTTGAATAAATTTGATGCTTGTAATGAATTTAAGATTTGTGGATGTATGAATTTTTGAAATGCATGAAATAATTATTACTTTGCGTACAGTATGTATTTTTCTGTGTGCAGGGACAATAAAATCGCTATGATAATAGACGTAAATAATTTCAAGATGCGAGGCTAAAAACAAATAAAAAGTGTAATTTAAAGACAGACAAGAAATGAACAAATGAAACGTTATAAAAACAAGACATTTATCGACCGGTCTGAAGTAGACCAGTTCGAAGTAGAAATATTGCTCTCAGTTATTAACAGAGATTTCACACGTACAATTCATGTAGGTACTTCCTTTAAATCCTCTCATTTTTCATCATCTTGGAAATTTCTTTTATTACTAAATTTTAAATTTTAGTTTCTTTGTTTTAAAGATGAAACTATTAGCATTACTTTATTATAGAATGTGACGAATGCGTTGTTTTATTTAAAGTTCAGTATTCAGTTTCTCGCAAGCCATAATTCGTATGACATATAATACTTGTTAGAACGTTACGTGTGTTGGAAAAATGATACCAGATTTTAATCTCTACATTCTGTTCGTGGTGCAATATCAGCAAAATATCGGGGATAGGCGACGATTTTTCGTAAACATTTCAAATATTTTTCAAAAATTCAACCTGCGGTCTCTCTTTAAAATATGATATCTCGCATTGCAAATAAAAATATTGGAAGGAAAGAGAGGAGAGGGCAGAGCGTATTAAATTAATGGCGTTTGCTTCTGCTTTTTGTTACAGGAGAGAATCCGGCTGCCATGCAACACGGCGGTACCACTGCCCCGAGGGCGACCTTTATCTTTACCGTTGTGATATCACTATCATCGCTCTTAAGGTGACCGTGATGACTCCGGTGCATTTTGGACCTGCGATCCGAATGGTGCTAATTTTCTCTTTCCCCTATGGAGACTCGTGCGCCCGGAATGTCCTCTCGAAATGGACGGAAACTTTGGGTATTAGGCCCTCCGCTCCTTTCCGCATGCACGCCGCATGAGATTGCTGCGAATCATATAAACGGGGGGAGTATATGGTATTCTCACGCGAAACGCAAATACGTGTGTGTGTGCGCGATAACGACGGAGATATCATCCGAATCCGTTTCGATCGTGGACTTAACTTTTGGACAAGTAGCTTCACTGTGAAGCACCGCGTCTCGCAGTTTCGTACGGCGCGGCGAGACGGCGTATATCAGTTTCCACAGAGCATTTCCGAGCATCTCTCGAGAAACTTGACTAATCGCTTCCAGCGGCGATCAATGCGGGATTTGCGTATAGAGGAGGACGAATAGCGTTCGCGCTCAGAACGCACACTGTAAATTTCAGGAAGAGGGATAGAAACTTCATGTCGCTCCCTCGTGTTTGAACTGTCGGTACTAACGTGTTGACGATGCATTGTTAATGCGTATGTTATTTGCGCGTCCATATGTTCAAACGCGGATACATTAATTAAGAAAATTCCGTTCATGTGATATGTAACGCCCGACTATCTATGGCATACGTTCGCGATTGTGCTGAAAATAATAGCCAAGCGATGATTCGATTAACATAATTCCACAATCAAAGACGTTCTCATTTTATAATTTTATCGTCATATCGTTCAAAATATATACCGCGAGATAAATATATTCTATTTATTATTGATTTAAAAGTTAGTTAAATTTAAAAGTGTATCGTTTCTCTATAAATTTTAATTGTCATTTTTCGGAGGGTGTAACAACGAAAAACTGTATCGATCGAAAGAGACAAATCTTGGCGAGGGTAAATACGTTTTATAAAGTTTGAAGATTTGAAATGTATATATATACTTTTGTATATATATACCTTTTATATATATGTATATATATTTGTTGAATTTATATTTTGTCTGTAAACTGTTATGTACTTTTAGAATGAGATTAATTATAAGATTTCCTGAAATGTCGAACGACACCGTCCAAAAAATTTGGCGCTACTTACTATTGTGAATATAAATTCGAATTATTTTTCCTTTTAACCGATCTATGCAATTATGTAATTGCACCCTCTGTGTTATCTGAGGGACAATAAAAATATTCTCATTTGTTGAACTGAATGTTATAATTTTGGTCATTTTTAATAGCTTTGAACTAACTCCATGTATATCTACATATCAGCATCTCTTTTGCGTGTACAAAATGCAATCTTTTAATTAAACGAATCAAAGCTCAAAGCCATTTAGTAAAACGTTTGTAACAAAAAGTTAATAGATAATAATTGGCATCTACAAAATTACGATCGCTGTTAATGAAAAAATTACTGAAGCAAAACATCGATCGATTTTATCTACATAATTATCGTTGCTCGATTTTATCTGACAAATATGGAAGCAATATTTTCGAGGCTTGCAGTGGCTCAAAGAAATCGGCGCCTTTGTCGAGTATAAAACAACAATTGCGATACATCGTTGTTGTTCACTGGTAGTTTTCATGCTCGTGACGCGAAAAATACGCGATGAACGTGGCCGATGAGGAATCTATTCATCGTGCGTCATTCGCTCGACATTGACGAACATCGAGTAAAATTTGATTGTCAAAAGATTACGTAATTATCGCGGATGTAATAAATGTTATTTGTGAAAATTTAACACGACCATTTTTTTTTGCAATTATTGAGAACATTTTTATTAGCCTGCAAATCGATATGATTGGATAATTTTGGAAAATTTTATGCTTTTATCTGCATATTTCTTTGTTACACGCTTTTTATTTTACAATATTCTTTAAAAAATATGGGAAAGGATATACATATTCTTGTATAAAAATTCTCTTTATATTTAAATTATTCCAATATTGGTTACTAAATAAATTTTTCGATTGCGTTTTATTTGATTTTATGTTAACAACAATTTATATTTCTTGCAAACGCAAATAGTAACATAATTTGTCAATCACTCTAAAAATGAAAAGCGTGACAATATCATATTATTTATATTTTACATAAAAACCGTACAATCTTATATGAATATATATGAACTTTTTATTGCTGCGCAAGTGGCTCTCAATCCGCGTCGTTTCGTGTAAATTTATACATGTTTTAAAAATATTAAATCTATTCGTATAAAATATTATACTGAAATTTAATGAAACAATTGGAAAAACGTAATATACGAGCAGATGCAAGATAAATTTTACAAATTCGAATTAAATCTGTAAACTCTCTCTGAATAGTGTTTGAATTTTCAAAATTTTACAGCTCGCTCGGTATAGCGGTAAGTATACGATTCCATGAGGTATGTAATGCAGATTGCTCGGGCGGAACTGCAATGTACAGGACGTGTGGCATTGTAAAAGCGCGACAAGTCGGACAAGGATCGATCGGGCAACAAATTACCGATCGCGCCGATGGAAAATGAACCGTTAAGCAGCTCTACCTGACAATGACGTACGGTTAGTTTGGCGTAAATCAGTAGTTTCTACTCGCGGCAATGCCCTCGTTCGCCGGCTGTAATGTGATAATTTAACAGAGGCATTATTGCACGAACAGGTGCAAAATATTTCAACGAGGCGCGTGCGGCCTCGCGATCCGTTACGCTAAAGCCACATCCGCGCGTAACCAGCGCCCGCGATAAATTTAATTATTATTTCGAGCGAGAGAGGTAAAGCCCTGAATCCAGGACGAGTATCGAAATGCACTGAATCGTAACGACGGCCAAGCGTTTTGCGGGCAAACTTTTCATTCAGTCGCGTTTCCCTCCTCTGTCGCGACGTCACCCTCGTCCTGCACTTCTTCAGTTTATCGTTAGTCTCTTTCATCTCTCGCGCCGTTTCGCTATCTCTTTAATGGAAGTTTCAAGACTAAGTCTGTTCTATCTCCTTGTTTCTGCAGGGTGCAGAATTCAGACGGTCTTAAATCCGCGAGAGCCCAATTATGCGAATTAATGTCAAGCTCGCAAACTACGACTGACAGTTTTATAACTACATCGGTGGCGCAAGAACTGTAGATTTTACACGCCAACTATTCACTGTCGCCCGCCGACAGGCAACACGACCGAATGTCATCAGTTTCGATTGTTTGCTTGTTCCACGTTTGCTCACGCGCGGAATTCATTTTCGAAGAATGTAGGAGAAAGCTTTCAGCTGCGATATCCAGCAAACATCTCGTTTATTCGAAAAAAAAAATATTTAGGGTCTAAGACTTAGATTTTAATAGATCTCTTCTAAAAACGTTTTTTATATTCAATTTCTTAATAATCTCTTCCAATTGTTTTAAGAAAACGACAAATATTAGTTTATAACTATAGTTTAAAAACTACTTTTATATTTAATTTCCATCAAGGTTGAGCCTCGAAGATATTGCATGTTGTTAAAGTAATAATAGTAAAACGAGATAATCGAATCCACCGATAACATTTCCGTTGATAAAATTCGTAAAATTTTCATTGATGAATGTTATCGTTTGGTGAATCATATATACATATAAATACAAAAATATGCATAACGATTAAAAGCATTTATTCCGAAGCTATCGCTTACAGTCAATTATTACGCAGATTTCATTTGTGAATAACACAATTCGTAAATTTTTGATATCGAGGGTGAATTTACACGCTTATCTGCACACATTGCCTTTTAATGGTCTTCTATTTAGAACATTTCTGCATTTGGCCTCGCTAATCTTCAGGAGATTATCTCTAATTAAAAGTGGCCCTCCGGAATAAGCACTGTTTTTCGTTTTTAATATTTTTCATTTGTTTTTCCTCGCCCGGCTGGTGTGCCGCCATTGTCCACTGTGTGACGTAACGATTACCGCTCGCGCAAAAGTCTCTGTATAATATCATACCCGGGCGTGTTGCGTATACGTCTGATGGTACACAGAAGCATGAGATTGCGAGCGAAATAATCTACGTGTGTTCGATAATGTAATTCGAAATTAGAAGTTAAGCCGCGGGCAGCTATATAATTTCGGAACGGTGGAAAGGACATGCGAAAGTGTGGTGTATGTACGCCGCGTCATGCCGCGCAAATTCGCGCGCGCATGTTCTCCAATATATTCTATCATCATTAATCATATTTCATCCCCCTGCATCCATACTAATGTATCCACGATAACGGTTAAAGCAAGTCTGTAAGCACATCTGTACGTTATTGGTACTATTATATCATTATTAATGCGAATTAAAGTGAACGAACCCATGATGCCCAGTCCATCAGCAAACGCAAAGAGAGAAAGAGAGTAAAAAAAAACAAAAAAGGAGAGAGAGAAAAAATGAATGAGAGAGAGAGAGAGAGAGAGAGAGAGAGAACTCATTCAATGTCGGTATTCACTGTTCATTATTTATAAAAACTCAAATGCAGAATACAATAAAATGTATAGTACTTAATCTTGAGTATTTATTCATTTCCCCCCTTCTTATGACGACGATAACATTTTTTATAAGATAAAGGCGCATTGTATGCTCTGCGTCTCGGCATTTAAATAGCTAATTGGCTTGAATCCTTTCTGTCGTACGTATTAATTCCGCTGTGAAAAATTTTGATGAACTTTTATTATTTCAAATTATGTCCGGAGACTCTTGTGCTAGAGAAGGGAAAAAAAACCGTCGGGAGGACATTACTTAGCATCCATTACGATGAGATATCCCATTAACTCGACTCTATTGCATTTTTTATAGTCATTTTATTCGACGAAAAGAGAAAATTGCCCGACGCAGGCCGAGATGATGAACTTTTTAATAATTATGTTCCTGGCAAGATTATGGAAATCGATGTCATGCCCGGAAATTACGCGATTGTTCTCGTATTCAATATTTATTCTACATTAATGATATTTTCCTTCTGTACTCCCACTCTTACCTATAACAATTATTCCCTTCGACGTGTTGGTCGAGAAGACTTATTTGAGAGTTTCATGGCGGTCTGGAAAGCGACACAATGATAAACTCACTGGACGAGTCGAGCTGCGATAAAAGCCGCCGGAAGAGGCTTCGCTGGAGTGTCGAGTGCTGGACGAAAAATTGAAAAAAACGAGGCGTACGAGAACTGGCAGAAAAAAGAACATCCCCTCCGCCATGCTATACTCTGGGCAGACTGGGTGCGTTAAGCGTCGCGGTTTTTAAAAGCTCCCCTTTTCAGCAATACACTGCCTGGAAAAATACTAAATCAGAATGTTGGCACTGACGTTTGCTGTGTGAATGAGAGAAAAAGGGAGACAAAAAGAGAGAGACACAAACAGAGAGAGAAAGAGATACAAAGTGCGGACAAACGTAAAGTATATTCTCGCCGTTGTTGACGTAAACGACGTGGCATAACATCGCGCATGAGTGTGTTTCGAATAGGCAAGTTATTTCGTTGCCCATAATTTCTTTCCGCGCAACCGTCGCGACGTTACCTCCCTCCTTTTTTCTTTCTTTTTTTACTTTTAATTGTATTATGGGACGTAAGAGAGTAACGCCCGGTGTTTAAATATGCTAATAAGTTTTCGATTAAGAAACAGTTAATTTTAATTAAATTCACGAAAAATATAACGAGGCAAAAATCCATTATAAAATTCTTTTGAATGATCTTTTTGCAAAAATGAAAGGACAGCGTAATTATATGTAAAATAATCACAATTTAGAAACACATAATACCGTTTTTCCTTTGTCAACGTTT